GCCCCTTTCCAAAAAAAAAAAAAAAAAAAAAAAAAAAAACAGTCTATGTCAATGGTTTTGTTGTTGTTATTATTGCTGTCTTGTTTTGTTGTTTTGTTTTGTTTTGAAACAGGGTCTCACTATGCAACCCTGGCTGGCCTTGAACTCAGAGATCTATCCACTTGCCTCTGCCTCATGAGTGCTGGGAAGAAAGACATGCACCACCACACCCAACTGATGTCACTGTTTTAAAACGGGTAGAAGACTGATCTAGAGAGGTACAACCACTGGAATGGAGCACAGAGCACCACAAGTTCTTGGTTAGGTCCCAGATCAGGGGAAATCGTTCTAGAGATGTTTTGAACCACTAGAGGATTGGCATACTGAAGAGCTAGATGTTAGAAGGGTTGCTGACCTGTTCCTGCTGGCAGGTGCAGTAAGAACACTGTACTCGTGTGCTCTCGTACTCTTAGGGGATGCAGACATTGATGTAATGAGATGAATGTCATGATCTCAGAATTTACTTCTAAATTATTCATCCAAGATATGTTGCATACATGGGGGGGTGCGGCAAATGTGGTGAAACGTAAATGGTTATTGAGGTGGAGACATGAGTCTTCCCTGTACTATTTCAGCTTTTCTGTACACTGGAATATTTTAAAAATAAAAAGGTTTGGAGCTGGGTGTGGTGGTGTACACTTATTATACCAACATGGGTAGAGTAGGAGTTCAAGGTTATCTATGGCTACATAGTAAGTCTGGGACCAACACGGGCTACATGAGACCAATCCCAGCCCCTCAAAGAAAGTTTGGGGAAAGAAAAAGAGCTGAGAAGAAACAAACTCTCTTCATCCCCTAGGCACTGTCCTAACAACATGGGAAGCAGGAGCCACACTCACTGCCACAGACCACGCAGGACACCCAGGTTGGCTCAGGGGAAAGACGAGAGACCTAAACTCTGTCTTGATGATGTATTCAAATAACTGAACTGCAAGCCCTGCAGCTTCCTCCTCAGGGCTTTGACCTGAAGGATAGTACATCCAATGCTCATGCCCACTAAGGGAAGGCTCCCTGGGACTAGTAGTCAAAGTCTCAAGCCATATGTAAACTTTGGGAGCTGTCAGCATGCAGAGTGTGGGTACCCTCCCTGGGGCAGTATGTGGAGAGGAACATTCCAGGCAGGTGGAATGTCCACAAGGAAGGAGGGAGGAGGAGGAGCTGGGGAAAGACCCAGCAAGCAGCAGGTGGCCCAGAGCCTCGGTGTTCTGAAAAGGAAGGACTGGGGCCAGGTGGGACTACTGCTTGAGCAGAGAAATGAACCAGGAGTTGCAGGTCTCATTTGAGACCTGGTAAGGACAGACACCTGCTGGATGTGGAGTGAGGAATAAACGGGGAGAAGGGGAGAGAGTGGACAGTTCCTGTAAGGGAAGGAGGCAGTGCTGTGCTGCCATGAAAGCCCACCTGAGTACAGAAGACTTTGCCTTTTGACTAAGTCAGTGTGGGTCTTGAGTTAGGCAAGTCCTGTCTCTTCATCTGTCTTGACCCCTTAACTGTCAAATGGAGGCAAGGAGTTTGGTCCAAGATCCCCAGGTCCTGCCTTCCTGCTGCTCTTCAGAACAGTGGACGCCACCCTAAGCACTCTGTGTGATGGCTGGGAACCCCCACCGAGAAACCAGGTCCTCATTAAGTGCTGGCCTGGGTGCTCCCCTACCATTTAACAGAGGACATGAAGGAGGGGTACTGTCGAAGTTGCTCAAGATGTCACAGCTGGTGGAAAGTTCTAGCTTCATCTCCAGCTTTCTCTACTCTCCCAGCTCAGGCTGATCCCACCGAGTAGTTCATCCCTGCTTTCCCCTCCCCTTTCTGTCTCTGTCCCATTGTAGGCACATCTATGAGCTCAGTATAGCCACAACCCTTTGCAGGCATTAAATCAGGTGACTCGGTCTCTTAGGGGACTCTGGGCCTTTTTGGATCCTGTGGATGAGGAAGCAGATGGCCAGAGGCTGAGCTCTCCCTTCAGGCCCTTCGCCCTTTCTGGAACCGTTGACAACACACTTGTTGGGGACTCCAGAGGTTCTGGCTACATCCTGGCTTGGGACTTGACCAGACCTCCTGGTCTGTGGCTTTAAGCTAAGCCCTGTCCTGGATGGGTTTTGGGGCACAGGCAGTTGGGCACCGCTAGCCAGAAATGGGAGGAGTGTCTCAACCCAACAGATGAAAGTAGGAGCCGTGACTTGCAGGGCCCCAGCCCAATGCTTGGGCTTCTCCTGCTGCCAGGAGCAAGGGGGACCCACAGCCCTTCGGGCCTCTGCTCTCACCTTGCCTACCCACAGGGGCACCGATGCCACCATAGCAGGAAGGGACAGCGATCTTTTCTTCTGAGCCATTTCCTTCATTCAGCATGTCCACCTCATCTTCTACAGACAGGGACATGCAGGTCACTGCTCTGGGGGCCAGGGGCCAGAGGGAACTCTGGTCCTAGGCCCTAAACAAGATGAAACAGCTTATAGTATGCCCCCCCAAGGGCACACAGTCAGGATAGTGATGGCCAGGGCTCCAGGGATGGAAGGTTGCAAGGGGCTGGAGGTGGCCATGAAGGTCAGAAGGTCCACACCTCTGGCTCTCCCATGGTTTTGAGGTACCCACGGGTAAAGGAGTTCTTATGCTAATAAGGGCATCTCTGTTGAGACCAGGGCAGGAGGGCAGCCCAGGCCTCTGGGCAAGGTGTCGGAAACTGAAGAGCACACAGAGCAGGCCAGATGACAAGGCCCCAATGTGCTCTCTCCCTAGCTGTCTAGTTGTAAGAAGGTAGAGGCTGGTGGGAGGAGAAGGGTCATGTGGGCCGAGCATATACTTACCGTCTCTGTAGATTTTTATTCCTCGACTCCTGGGAACCCAGGTGGGAAGAAGGAACAAAGACAAATTAAGCACCTTGGACTGCCACCAAGGGAAGGTTCTAGACCCCAGCCAAGACTAAAAGATGGAGGTTAGGCCTCTGTCTCCCAAAGACTTCCACCCCAACCTATCCCTAGCCAGGGTGAGCCAAGAAACACACTGTGGAATGTTCAACTATTCCCAGCGGAGGAAGATGGACATGGCAGGGCAGTCCTGGTGGGAAGACCACAAGATTCCAAAGCCCATGGGCCTGGCCCTCACTTTTCTCTCTGAAGTACAGCTTAACCTCTCTAGATTACTTGGCCTTGACATGACTCCAAGTGTGTTTAGAAGAACAACAAGGAAACCAGGAGTAGAAAAGGCTATGCACAGAGGAAATGGCTATGCGGTTAAGACATTCCTTTTACAATGAGTCCCACACAGGACAGGCCCAGGGCTGGCAGAACATCGAGTTTAAGAGTTAATGAGTGAATGGTAAATGACAGGTGCTGGGTAGCCACTCTCACAGGTCTATGCCTTACTGGAAGGCACCATCCAGTCTGTGGTCAGCACAAACCAGAGTCCCAGGAAAAGGCATAATGAAAAGGCAAGTGTACAGGTAAAGCCAATAACTCCTCCCTGTATTCTCCAAGACACCAGGAGTCACTCTGTGGTGTGGGGAGGGTTGAGGAGACAGAGGCAGGGGCACAAGGACCCCATGAGGCCAGTGGCTCCTTACCCAGAATTCACAGGCTCCGACTGCAGGGGCACTTTTCTGGTCTTGCTAAGGGAAGCCAGAGGTGAGCTCATAGTTCTAGTTAGGATGCTGTCAGGAACTCCTAAGAGGAAAGAGAGAAGTCACAGCCCTTGGGGACAGAGGGAAGTCACAGGCTTAGGGGATGGAGAGAACCCAGGGCTTCAGGCTAGGGAAGGGGACTGCAGCCTCCTCTTCCTGTCTACTTTTCCTAAAGGGAGTGCTGTCCAGAGAGCAGCAGCCTTCACTCCTCCAGTACCAGGCAAAGATTTCTGACAACTGTTGCCTCCTCTGGGTAGCCAGTTCTCTGTTCTGAATGTGGGGACCCTTGCCTGGTGGGGTGCAGAAATTCACCAGAGTTTGGGCACAAGATTATCATGGAGGTTTGGGCTTGTATTGATCCATCACTGAGCTGGTTGGCATAAAGCCCAGGTATCTCCTTCCCTCCTGCCAGAACCCAGGTGCCACCCCCAACAACTCAGAGATACTGTGGGCAACCCATGGGCAGGACTCATTGAAGACACAGCTATGTGCTCCTGTGGAGGTCAAGAGCCTGGACTCCGCACAAGTGCTGCCTACAGCCTAAGTAGCACCTCGGTTCCACCCACAGAAAATGTGCAGGGTAACAGCATGGGCCAGCAGGTTACCCAGGGGCTCAGTCACAAAGCACCCTGCCCAGCACAGGCTCAAAGGCAGCACTTGGAGGCTGTGCCCTGGCTGTATGGGCTCTGTTATTGGCACACAGGACTAGGCACTTGGAAATGACACTTTCCCTCCTTCCCCTGAGGAACATACACCAGGGCACAAACTAAATGTCAGTATTCTATAGTCTGTGTCTAAAGTACATCAAGTGGTTAGCAGTCCTGGAGCCAAAAACTAGAATCTCCACTAGGGAGGGTCTGAAATGAGTCTTTTTGGGCCAAATCCAAGGCAGTTCCTCTTTGGAACTGTCCAGCAATGGACCTATGCTGCCTGGAGGCAGCTTCCCTCCACACCTCCCCCCATTTTGTTCTAGAGTCTGGGACTCATGCCCTGACTTTCCTTAGGAGGAAAAGGATCCAGCCTAGTTTCCTCATCCCACCATCCAGCTTCCCTGTCCTACCCCTGCCCTGCCTCACCTTGTGGGTCTGGGCTACCTCATGTCACAGCTCCTGTGGCTCCTTCATCACTGTCCACAAATAACACTGGATGTCCACCCTGAACAAACCTCTCCAAGGCTCTTTCTCTCCCACATGAAAAAAAATCTCAAAACCAGGTGTGGTGGCAGACATCTTTAATCCTAGCAGAGGCAGGCAGATCTCTGTGAGTTCAAGGCCAGCTTGGTCTACATAGTGAGTTCCAAGGCCAGCTGGGGCTACAATGACACCCTGTCTCAAAAAGACCAATAATAATAGCAACAATAATAATTAAAAACTAAAATAAATAAATAGAAAGAAAAGAAAAGAGGGCTAGAGAGATGGGCAGTGGTTAAGAGCATTGGCTGCTCTTACAGAAGGCCTGGGTTCAGTTTCCAGCACCCACATGCCAGTTAACAATCATCCATAACTCCAGTTCCAGGGGATCCAACACCCCGGCCTCTGCAGGTATTGCATACACATGGTATATTCACATACATGCAGGCAAAAGACACATACACATAAAATAAAAATAAATAAATGGGGGAAAAAAACTTTAAAGAAAAAAATAAAAACCTCAAAATTCCTTCCCATGGGCAATCTGGCGCCAGTCTGTCTCCTGACCTCATCCCTACCCAACCCTCGCTGTACTCAGGATGACTGAGCTGTTGGAAATACCTCGAATGTACACATGGCTCCCCAGCGCTGGCCCCTCCTGGAATGGTCTCCTCTGACCCACTCTCTTCCATTAACCAAGCTAACCCCGCCTTCCATTTGTTTTTAGGCTGAAATTTAACCTTTTATTTAAAAATCATCACAGATGCAAAGGAAATTAGGAAAATAGTACAGGGAGGCCCCAGGATTCCTTCACCCAGTTTCCTCAATTGTATAGAACATTTTATAGAACCACAGTACAACACAGGATCAGTAACGACTGTTTGCGTACAGTTTGTATGTGCAGGCCTAGGTGATCTGATCACATGGACAGATAGGGTTTAATCACCACAGCAATCAAGATGGCGGCCTATCCCATTCCCACAGGCCTTCCTCTTGCTGCCTCAGCAGCCACACTCCTCCCCAGCCCTGACCCCTGGCAAACACCACTCTTTATCTCTGGAATTTTCTTCAATAAAGTTTCATAAATGGAATCATGTAACACAGTCTCCTTTTTTTTTTTAAGTAGCTTTACTGAGATATACTTCATACACTTCATTTTAAGCACAAAACTAAGGGGGATGTTTTGTTTTTGTTTGGTTGTTGAGACATGGTCTTGTTATAGAATCCAGACTGACCTCTAACTTGTGATCCTTCTGCCTCAGTCTCCCCAGAGCTGGGATTACAGAAACATGCCATCACACCCAACTTTAAAGTTTTAAATATATTTATAGTTATGCAACTGCTACCAGTTTGCGTATGTGTATGTGTGTGTGTGCACTGAGGACATCCTGGAATATTGTTCCCTATGCACACTGCTCTCCTTTTTTTTTTTTTTTTTTTTGAGACAGGGTCTCTTTCTCACTGGCCTGGAACTTGCCAAGCAAGTTAGGCTGACTGGCCAGTGAGCCCCAGTCTCCACCTCCCAACACTGGATTACAAATTATACCTGGATTTATTATTATTATTAATTTTTATTTTTGTCTTTTTGAAACAGGGTTTTCCTGTAGCCCCAGCTGTCCTGGAACTCACTATGTAGACCAGCTGGCCTTGAACTCACAGAGATCTGCCTGCCTCTGCCATCCCAGTGCTGGGATTAAGGGCATGCTCTACCATGCCTGGCTTATTATTAATTTGTTTGTGGGGAAGGAGGTATACATACACCCTAGTGTGTATGTGGAGGTCAGACAATACCTGTGAGAGTAGGTTCTCTCTTTCTATCATGTAAGTCCTAGGGATCAAACTCAGGTGGCTGATTAGGCTTGGCAGCAAGCACCTTTATCCACTGAGCCATGTCACAAACCCTCACATCTATATTTTTGGTTTTTTCATTTGTTTGTTTGTTTGGTCCTTCTGAGACAGGGTCTCTCTGAAACCCTAGCTGGTCTGGAACTCACCATGTAGACCTGGCTGGCCTTGAACTCAGAGATCTGCCTGCCCCTGCCTCCCAAGTGCTGGGGTTAAAGGCGTGCGCCACCACGCCTGGCCGTTTGTTTGTTTTGACAGTACCTCCCTATAGCCCCAGGTGGCCTGTAACTCCCTATGTAGACCAGGCTGGCCTGGTTCTCACAGAGATCCACCTGCCTCTGTTGGGATTTAAGGCCACCATGCCCAGTTTTTACACCTGTATTTTTTTTTTTATTTTACATGTATGTAGGTAAGTACACCTGTGTCATGCAATGTTGGAGGAGGACCAAAGAGGCTGTCGGATCCCCTGGAACTGGAGTTACGGACAGTTGTTAGCTGCCATGTGGGTGCTGGGATTAGAACCTGGGTCTTCTGCAAGAACAGTCAGTGTTCTTAATCGCTGAGCCATCTCTCCAGCCCTACAACTGTATTTTTAAAAAATTATTTATTTGCCAGGAGTGGTGGCACATGCCTTTAGTCCCAGCACTAGGGAGGTGGAGGAAGGCAGATCTCTGTGAGTTTGAGGCCAGCCAGGTCTCAATAGCAAGTTCCAGGCCAGCTGGGGGAACAGGGAGACCCTGTCTCAAAAAGACCGCCCAAAAATTATTTATTAATTTATTTTTATTTTATGTGTATGAGTGTATTGCCTGCATGTATGTAAGTGCCCTGGAGTCGTGCAGTGCCTGCGGAGGACAGAAGAGGGCATCAGACCCCCTAGAACTGGAGTTACAGATGATTGTTAGCTGCCACATGGGATGCTGGAACTTGGGTCCTCTGCAAGAGCAGCCAGTGCTCGTAACTACTGAGCCATCACTCCAGACCCTACACTGTATTTTTAAAAAATATTTTATTTATTATTTTTATATTTTTATGTGTATGCATGTATTGCCTGCATGTAGGTAACTGCACTGGTGTCATGCAATGCCCCTGGAGGACAGAAGAGGCTGTCGGATCCCCTGGAACAGTTGTTAGCTGCCATGTGGGTGCTGGGATTCGAACTTGGGTCTTCTGCAAGAACATTCAGTGTTCTTAACCACTGAACCATCTCTCCAGCCCCAGCCATCTCTCCAGCCCCTACACCTGTATTTTTAAGTAGGTTCTAGTGATTAAACTCGGGTCCTCATGCTTGCAAGGCAAGCACTTTACCAGCTAAGCTATCTTCCTAGCCCCTTTGGTTTTGTTTGTTTGGTTGGTTTTTGTTTTTTGTTTTTTTTTTTTGTTGTTGTTGTTTGTTATTGTTCTTGCTTTGAGACAGGATCTCACTATGTAGCCCTGGCTGGTCTGGAACTCATTATATAGCCCAGGCAGGCCTCAAACTCACAAAGTTTACAGGCCTGAGCCACCAAAAGACCCTGTAAAGCAGGGTGTGGTGGTGCATACCTGTAATTCCAGCATTGGGAAGGTTGAGTTCAAGGCCACTCTGGGGTTCAAGTACCAAGCCAGCCAGGGTTTCATGGCAAGACCTAGATATAAAGTATTTAAACAAACAAACAAACAAACAAACGCTGGGCATGGTGACATACACCTTTAGTCCCAGCTCTCAGGAGGCAGAGGTAGGCAGATCTCTGAGTTTGAAGCCATCCTGGTCTACATTTTGAGTTCCAGGCCACAGGCCAGATGGGGCTACAGGGAGATCCCATCTCAAAAAATAAATGAAAATAAAAGACCTTAAAGCCTTTAGTAGTCCATGCATACTTCAAGTTCCCATCCCACTTCCCCAGCCAACCCTAGGTGGTCACAAATCTGTTTTATATTTCTACAGGTTTGCCCATTTTGGACATTTCATGTAAATGGAACATAGACTAAAAATGATTGGAATTTATATTGTGAAGGGAATTTATACTGAGAAGAAGTGATATATATATAATATATGAATTATAGCCGGGCATAGCGGTGCATGTCTTTAATCCTGGCACTCGGGAGGCAGAGGCAGGTGGCTCTCTGATAGGTCAAGGCCAGTGTGGTCTACACAGTGAGAGTTAGGCCAGCTGGGGCTACAGGGAGACCCTGTCTCAAAAACACCAAAATAAATAAATATTTGAATTATGTTATCAATAAAACCACCATGGAAAAATGGACACCCAACCATTCTGCAAAATCGGCTCCTCCACCTTCCTCCATATTAATGGGACCTCATCATCGAACTATAATTATTCTGTCTTTTCTTGGAGGTACCAAGCCCTTCAGGTTAAACTCTGCAGTCTCTCAGAGGGGCTCCTCCTTTCCATGCCCACTATTAGCTGTCCTCGGGGTATGCTCTCTGCACTTATTTGTGTCCTTGCTTTTAGTTTTACTCTGGTCCAATCCGGCTGTGTTCTTTCCCTCAAGCTGGGGACCCTGAGAATAGAGTCATAGGTAAGCCTTTCACTCTGAGGTTTCCTGGGCAGGGCTGCCTCATCTCTGTTAGGCTAAAGATTATTTTTTGTTGTGGTGGTGGTACTGGGAATTGAATCTAGGGCTTGAAAATGCTAGTGTACCACTGAGCAATATCCTCAGCTCTTTTTAAACTTATTTTTTTTGTGTATTTTTTTTATGTTTTGCCTGCATGTGAGTGCACCTATACATGCAATGCCCACAGAGGTCAGCAGAGGGCATCGGAGCCCCTGGAACTGGCGGTTATCAGCCACCGGTAAATGCTGGGACCCGAACCCAGGTCCTCTGCAAGAGCAGCCAGTGCTCTTAACTGTTGAGCCATCTCTCCAGCCCCTAAACTTATTTTTAATCAAGTAGTTAGCTAATTAATTAATTTTTGCAGAACTTGGAGATTGAATTAGGGTTTTGCACATGCTAGGCAAGTGCTATACAGCTGAGCTATATCCACAGTCCTTTTCTTTTTATGAATTAAGGTCTTGGGCTGGAGAAATGGTTCAGTGGTTAAGAACACCTATGCTCTTGCAGAGGACCCAGGTTCAATTCCCAGAACCCACATGGTAGCTCACAACTGCCTGTAATTCCAGTTCCAAGGGATCCTATGCCCTCTTCTGGCCTCCTCAGGCATGCACATGGTGTACATACACATATGCAAGCACTCACACAGACACATAAAATAAAAATAAAGAAATCTTTAAGGAAAATAAATAAAGTCTTCCTAAGTTATCCAAGAAGACTGAATTTGTGATCCTCCGACTTCGGCCTTCTGAATATCAAGGATTACAGGCCTTTTTTTTTTTTTTTTTTTGAGACACGGTCTCACTAAATTACCCTGACTGACCTGCAACTCACATGTAGCCCTGACCGGCTTCGTACTTTCTCCTGCCTCAATCTCTCAAGTGCCAAGAATCAAACGTGGGCCACCATGCCAGGCGAAGGCTCTAAGGCACGGCCGCTGCCCTCTGAGAGGGTGCAAACGCGTCGCTACAGCTCTGGGACAGAACTCACTACTGTGATGACTGATCCTTCGCCAGTCCTGGCTCCCACGTGCCTCCTAGGGCGCCCCAACCCCGCTTCGGAGCCCGCCGCCTGTTCCGTCTCCACACGCGGGCAGGTCAGCGTAGTCCCCGTCCGGGGGAGCCGAGAACACCCAGGTCGCGGGCCCTCAGAATCGGGGCGCAGGCCCCACCCTGCAGGAAGCCTTCCGGGGTAGAAAGGCCTGGAGCCGGGACTCACCGCAGGGGCAGCGAGCTGTCCCGCGACACCGCCATCTTGTTGTCTCGCGGTTCCCCAGGCAACCAGGACCTGCGCACTTTTCATTGGCTAATGCCTGGAGGACCGCTGACCAATTAGAGGGCAATAAAGGCGGGTCTAGTCGACTGTGCTCGAATGCTATTGGTCTAAGGTGGTGAGACTTTTAGCTGGATACTGCAAATCCCAGAATGCACCGCTCTAAGTAGTCAGCGGACGGGGGTGCGGGGGGGTGCGGGGGTGCGGAGGGCGGGGGGGGGCGGGGTGAAGAAGAAGACCTGACTGTGACCCTGACAGTGCCACTACTGTGCTAAATTGATCTTGGGAGAACTATGTAGCCTCTTCCATTGGGTACTTCCTTGGGACTCTTAATTGAAATTATGCAGGCACTTAATAAATATTTAAATCTGAGTTTCTACACTGATTGCTCGACCAGATGCTGCCCTGAATGAAAGTTCAAATTCTAATGCTTTTGTATAGTTGGGTACTGCACACACCACACCACCAAGTTTGGTAAATAATTTCCCCTCCTAGAGCCTCATATCTAAAAATCAGACTGGAGGGCCCTGGAGATTGCTCAGCCGGTGAGGGCATCTGTTGCTGGGCCCGACAAACTCAAATCTATTTCCAGGACCCACATGATGGAAGGAGAGCACTGACTCCTGCGGGATGTCCACTGACCTCCACACGTGTGCTGCTCCTATACAGACACACAAATAATAATAAATAAATGTAAACAAAATAAAATTAGACTAGAGACACCAAAGCAACTAGAGAAAGTTTGGTTAAGAGCATGAACTTTGGTGTCACCAGTCCTGAGAGTGTGTCATTGGACACATTTACAGCTTCTTTCCTATCTGTAAAATAGCCCACAGGATGCTGGGAGGATTAACTGAGGCTAATGCAATATACCAATCAAAACACCTGTACAGATGATGTTTTAAAAAACATTTCCTGCTATTCACCATCATCATCATCTCAAGAGTCTATGCTGGTCTGACTTCTAATTTGGGGTCCCCATTTTTGGTTTTATTTATTTATTTATTTTTATCTTATGTGTATGAGTGTTTTGGCTACATGTATGTAAGTGCACTCATGTTGTATAATGCCCACAGAGGCCAGAAGATGTTATCAGGTCCTCTGAACTGTAGTTATGGAGAGTTGTTAGCTGCCATTTGGGTACTGGGAGCCAAACCCAAGTCCTCTGCAAAAGCAGCCAGTGCTCTTAATCACGGAGCAATCTCTCCAACCCCTTTTATTTTATTTTATTTTTTGAGACAGATTCTCACTCCATAGCCCCGCTGGCCTGGAACTTGATATATAGATAGGGCTGGCCTGGAACTTATAGAGATCTGCCTTGCCTCTGCCTCCCCAGTGTTGGGATTAAAGACATATGCCACCAAACCCAGCTTGGGCACCCATTTTCTATGCCTAAAGTTTTTCAGAGCCCTTTCACCAAATCACTCATTCTGCACTTTTTAGGAATTTAGTTAATGTCTGACTCCGTGTGTGTGTGGTGCTTTATGTGTATGCGTTCATTGCTTGCATGCAGGTAAGTGCACCCATGTCATGCAATGCCCATGGAAGACAGAAGAGGCTGTTGGATCCCCTGGAACTGGAGTTACAGACAGTTGCTAGCTGCCATGTGGGTGCTGGGATTCGAACCCCAGTCTTCTGCAAGAACAACCAGTGTTCTTAACCACTGAGCCATCTCTCCAGCCCCTGACCTTGAATTCTTAAACCTTTCCTGCTTTCTTCTCCAGAGTGTTGGGATTACAGGCCTGTGTGTGCCAATATCCCAATTTATATGAAGCTGATGATCAAACTCAGGGCTCCTATGGTAGGCCAGCACTCTACCAACTGAGCTACATCCCTAGCCCTTGGGCATTCTGGAAGCTAAAGAGAGCTGGCAATTAGTGAGTGGCTACCATGTGTGATGCTAACATGAGGGGGTTGATAGACAAACACACAGAAACTCAGAGGAATGACTTGCTCCAAACTATACAGCTAGGAAGCAGTAGAAGTGGATTCAAATCCAGAACTGGAGAGCCAGTGAGATGGTTCATTAGGTAGAGGTACCTGTCACCAAGACTGACAACTTGATTTCAATCCCCAGGACCCACATGGTTGATAGAGGAAAGAACCAACTCCAGAAAGTTGTCCTCTGACAAAACTCCCTCCATCCTCTTCACATTTAAAAAAATAAACAAAAATGTAACAAACCCAGAACTGTCTGCCTTCAGAATCATGCTCTTCCTAGAGAACTGTCTGCCTTCAGAATCATGCTCTTTTTAGAAACTCCCACTCTAGTAAAACGGGCTGGTTTGCTAGATGAGCCAAGCATGCAAGCAGTCCAGACCACTGCCAAGGGAGGCAGTTGTGTGGAAAGTGTGACTGAAAATAAGAGAATTGGTGGGAGAATTGCCACAGGGTGACTCCCAGAAAGCTTTTTGAGGCTTGAGGTATCTGAGGATGAGGAAGTTGGAGATCATGGAGCCAAACAGTTTTGGGGTTCTCAGGGAGTCTTGGTCAGGGGAAATAGCAATCTTCTACTGTCACCTTACACACGCAGATGCGTAAAGGGAAGCAAGGGGTTTCAACAGTACTGGGGAGCACAAGTTGTTTTTACCCACTCATCAGGATTTGTCTTCCCCTCTGTATCACACCCCACCCTTACCTCCATTTCTCAGGGCCTGCATAGATAAATTAGTGACTATCTGGTTCCTGGGAAGAAGGTTAGAGTCCTCTAACCTGGCAGGTCAGTTAGTTTGCTTTTAAAAAATAAAAAAACAAAAAAATGGGTGGAGAGGGAGCTCAGCTGGTAGAGTGCTTGCCTAATATGCACAACACCATGGGTTTGGTCTCCAGATGTAATCTCAGCAATGAGGAGGTGGAGGCAGGAAGATCAGAGGTTCAAGGTCATTCTTGTCTACATAGCAAGTTTGCCAGCCTGGGATACATGACACCCTATCTCAGAAACAAATAAAATAATCTTCATTGGGGGAAGTTAGAGACTTTATAAAAGTATGCATTCTCCAACTGGTATGATGGCACAAGCCTTTAATCTTAGCACTCAGGAGGCAGAGGCAGGTGGGCTCTAATTTAGAGGCCATTCAGGCCAACAGAGTGAGAACCAGTCTCAAACAAACATAAACAACAACAACAAAAAAAAAAAAAAACAAAGCAAAACAACAAAAAAAGAAGTGTGTAAGTGTGTTGTACTATAGACCAGCATACTTTAACAGCTCTTCGGAGGCTAGCCTCTGTCACTTACTAGTTGATTGCTGCAGCTCATGACTTCACTTATTTAACCACAGTTTCCATAGCCGTAAAACAAAAATACAAATAGAACCTACCTGATTTCTGTGCAAAATTCCCATAATGTCATTTTGTTTGTTTTTGAGACATGTAGCTCAGGCTAGCCTGGAACTTGCTATGTAGCCCAGATTGATCTCAAATTCACTGTGATGGTTCTGCCTTAACCTTCCAAATGTTGGGATTACAGGTATAAACTACACATTATTTAAAAATTTTTTTTAACTTTATATGTTTGAGTGTATTACCTGCATTATGTGTCACACAATGCCCACAGAGGTCAGAAGTGGGTGTTGGATCCCCTGAAACTTCTGGATGGTTGTTAGCTTCCATGTGGGTGCTGAGAATTTAACCCAGGTCCTCTGCAAGAGCAGTCGGTGAGTCATCTCTCCAGCCCCACAGTTACTTTTTTTACGGGTGTCTCCCCAAATCAAAATTAAAAGCAAGATTCTAAGCTCACCTTGGAGTTACTTTTCCAACCTTTGTCACTCAGTGTCCTGTCTTAGAGGCTCTTGAAATTTTTTCAGGCTGTCTAGGCTCACATAAGCCTTGAGTGTAAGAGACCCTGGAGGCCAGTGTGTCCAATTCCTGTACTACCTGACCCAGGACTCCCTCTGGTCAGCTAAGATGGGGGTCCACTAGCTGCTTCTTTGTCATGCACTTCTTGAGTTTCTATTCTTGAGAGTGGACATAATCTACTTCTAGGTCATTTCCTGAAAGATGCTTATCAGGTATGACTCCTTTGAGGTTAAAGAGTTTATGGGTTCTAGCAGCTCAGGAGGGAAGTGAATGGAGAGAGAGGAGAGAGAGAGAGAGAGAGAGAGAGAGAGAGAGAGAGAGAGAGAGAGTCCTTTATGCCCATGGAGTCCCTCAGAATAAAGGTCTAACTTTCTCCCCTACCTTTTCTCCTCCTCCCCACCCCTATGGCCACCATCTCAGATGAAGACTGTCACCCCCAGCTTAGCAATATTTTGAAGCCTTTATATTCTGAGTCTTACCCTCTACTTCTCATTTTCTAGAAACTAGCATGTTCTTTCTCAACTTTTGGGCTTCTGCAACATCCTTCCTTATTTTTCTGCTTGGTAAAAATCTCACTCCAGAAAAAAACAAACAAACAAACAAAAAAAAAAACCCAGCTTAAATGTCCCCTCCTCCATGAAAACAGCTCTGGCCTTTCTCTCTCCCCCTAAGCAGAATTGCACTCTATACTTTAAAGCCTACTGCCATGATGGCTTTTCCCATTCAGTTTTCTGAATTACAGTTTGGGTATCCGACCCAGTAGGTTTCAATAAATTGGATGAGTAAGTGAGCAAATGAATGGATGGATAAAGATTTACCTTGATACAAGTTTGAAGGCAGCCTCGGCTACATAGTCAGTTCCAGGATAATCTGGACTACCAGAGTTTGACCCTGTCTTAGTTACCTTTCTATTTCTGTAATTAATAATAATAATAACAAAAAAAACCAAAACAAAACACTGACTGGCCGAGCATGGTGGTGCAAGCTCTTACTCCCAGCACTCAAGAGGCAGAGGCAGGTAGATCTCTGTGAGTTCAAGGCTAACCTGGTCTACATAGTGAGTTCCAAGACAGCTGTGGCTATAGGGAGGGAACTCAGACAGGAACCTGGAATACAGATCATGGAGGAATGCTGCGTACTGGCTTGCTCCCCTGGCCCACAACTCCTGCTTTCACAGGACAACCTGCCAAGGGGTGGCACC